GGGGGAGGGGGCTCCCTCTAGTGGGGGGAGGGGGCTCCCTCTAGTGGCAGTGATGTGCTGGGTGGTATTGGAGATCAGCCGGTTGGGGGTTGTACATTGGATGGGGCTCTCGTATCTTCCATGGAAGGAATCCACTGAACCCGTCCTCTTCTTTCTTACAGGTGAGGCCGAGTCTGCATCTGATCCGTGTCGGCACCATGGCGGAGTCTCCCCTTAAAGGTAACTCAACGTTCTTCTCTGGATGACCATTTCTCCTCCTCCGGGATGGGAGGTCACTCGATTTACTACCACTGGGCCAAGTTTTTATGTCTTCCTCATTGTAGTCGCCACAAGCCAACACGTGACCAGAGCTCCCAACGAACCTCCCTCACCCAGGAAGGAGGTATTTGGGGTAATCGGGGGTAATGGGGGGAAATTGGAGGATGTTTCTTTAGCGGATGTCAGACGCAGATCTGAGGTCACAACCTTCATCTCTATTCCAGTGAGTTAGTAAATACAATGTAACTATAAATGGATACATTGTACTCGTCAGTGACACCCGCAGACTATCTACAAGTGTCATTGTGTGTCCGGGAGTTCCCAGTATGCGATGTCTGGAGAAGCGTAGGAGGTACGTCCTGTGACATTCGTAGGGCGTGTCTCCTTCACTAGAAGTCCTCAAGAGGTTAGGAACCAGCAGGGAGGAAACCTGCAAGACTGTAGACTGTACCGGTCTTGCTTGTGGCGTCGGGTCTAAGGCGTCTGTACGAGCTAAACCTGCCATGGAAAAATGGCTGACAGCCGGGAAACCCTCCAGATTCTGCATTGACGCGCTAGCTTGTGTCTATGAAGCTCAGGATGAGGAGCTGCGCAGAGGAGCGTTCAATGGCCAAGATTTGGTCTTCCAGTTGTATTCTTTCTCTTCAGCCATGGTGAATGTATCTACCAGAGAGATGCTGTATTGTCTTGCAGGCCGGGAGAGCTTTGGCTCCATCACCCTAGAAGATCACCTGATACGACCCAAAGATTTCGAGTTGCTGTCTCCTCTCTTCCATAGATCTTCAAAGCTTTCGTAAGTGTTCTAGCTTCTGTAGTCTGTTTACCTCCAAAGTACCATTTCTGAAACCCTTTCCTTGCTGGAAGGCCTTTATCATGTAGGACATTATGAACACGGTCACACCAATCCCCATTTCTTGTATGACTGGTGGCCAATGTGCTGCTTTATTCCAGAGCCAATGGTCTGCTAACATCCCGGCTGTAGTCACTTCTTACCAGAGGCCATGTAATGATATCACCACTGGTCCTCCCATAGCCCAGGCATAGCTGTGGTTTCTAATGTACATGTATGTTGGGAATCTTTATCCATGGGAGTCCTCGTAGTCTAGTAACTGGTATCGGAACATAAAGACCCTTGATGAGAATATTGTAGTAAAGGGCTGCTTGTTAGAACAAGTCAAGCAGTTTGTCTTCAACTTGTGTTTGGCTCTGAGAGGTCATTGCATTTTCTTTCTCCTCCAGCTTTGTACGGTGCGGCTTTGCTGAGGACACCGAGACTGGTGGGAAGGCCTCCTGGCTGTCCAACCCAGGCAGCAAAATCCAACAACTGGAGTAAGTTTGTGACCTCCTTTCATCATCTTCCCTTTCCAAGAGGAAGTCTGTTCCCTGTGCAGGGGATTGCTGGTGGAGTTGGGTGTGACGGACCCCAGTACCCCAGATGTGTGTCTGCCGCTGTATTCTTGTTTGGGAGATATTGCAACCCTCTGATGTTTAGCTCCCAGTTTCCCCAGTCACTAGTCGGGACTGAGTGTAGGGTGACACCAACCCCCCCCCCAGTCACTAGTCGGGACTGAGTGTAGGGTGACACCAACTCCCTGATTTATTGACAAACTGTGCAACCTTTTATACAGAAAGTGATCAGATTATAATCCCATCACATCCACCCCTCCCCTGACATTCTGACTGCCCAACCCAGCAGCGGTCCAGCTGCTAAAGAGCCCCAGACAGCCATAGCAGGATTGTAGCCAGCCACAGGAGAATGTCATTGTCCTGAGCTCCTTGGAGTACAAAGGGGGCTAACGAGGGGAGGGGGGGGGGTGCTGACTGTCTTTTGATGAACAGGGTACCCAGTATTGGTGTAGTAACCCAACACCAATACACATATAACCCATAAACTGATGACCATGTTGTCACATAGCTCCTCCTCTCAAGTGGACTCTACGGGTCCACTTGGTGATGTCCATGATGTTAGTCACCCTTCCAGTTCCATTTGCTGAGATAATCCATTGGCCTTAGCATTGTGTTTCCAGAGCCGGTATTGGATTGTCAAATTGGAAGTCTGTAGGGCCAGGCTCCACCGCAACAGCCGTCCATTGTCCCTGGATACCCGGTTCAACCAAACAAGGGGGTTATAATCTGTGAGGATGGTAAATGATTGCCCACACAGGTAGAGTTGTAGCTTCCGGAGGGCCCATACCAGGGCTAAACATTCTTTCTCCACGGCCGCGTAAGCTACTTCCCTGGGTAAGAGTTTGCGGCTGAATATATGCAACCGGCTGGTCATACCCATCAGGCAACCCTTACCTCCTTTCATCTTCCCTTTCAAAGAGGAAGTCTGTTCCCTGTGCTGTAGAAAGGCATCATGGCACACTCACAAACCAGCATGTAAAACAACTTGTCTCACCACTAAGGACAATGACAGAGGTTTGGATACACGTCTTCTGCAAAGGATGTGTAAGCCGCACTGCCGCGCCAAGGCACCTCTTATAGTGCGGTCCTAACTCTGACCTATGAGAGTCTCCATCTTGGAGCACATGGGGGCAGAAGATATCAAATTGGGTGCAGGCCTGTCAGGAGGACGCCCCACCTCCTTAAAGGTACAGAGACACACAAGGGATCCCGCACATCCCATTGGCAGCTGAGAAACCCCATGCGTCGCTGCACCAAATCGGTAACTGTACCACTGTTCAAAGCCCATTTCGTGTGCACCTTACTGTATAACTGGTAACAAATTGTTGAGTGCGTTTGTCGTTTGTTTTGCTGTTCCCTGTGCTGGGGATTGCTGGTGGAGCTGGGACTATAGGTGCCACCGGGTCCTGGTGGTCTTGTGCCCTCAACAAAGGGGAGGAGTCAGTAGACGTTGGGCTCTTCTACTGTTAAATGCTATAACTTTTATTCTTCTGCTCTTCTTGCAGGTTTCATGTCTGTGTGGTCGCCCCGTCCTTCTTCGAGGATCTCCGTTCTCTGATTTCTTCCAGCCAATCCCTCACCAAACTTGTCGTCGGCCATCACAAACTGGAGGACGCCACTTTTAAGATCCTGTGCGATAGTCTGCGCCAGCCGGGCTGTACCCTTCGGGATCTGGAGTAAGTATTTTCCTGGATTCTATTAGACTTGTGACCGGAGGGATGCAGAAAGATCACAAATAATGGAGGACATTTTTCTTCCCCTCTTATCAGTTCCTGAAGGTCCATCCTCTGCTGAATGATAGCCGTCACATGTCAGGACACCTTCCTGATAGATGTGCTGTGCTCTGTAGATTACGTGCAGTATGGCCAAACTCATCTAGAGGTCTACCTGTCCATACACCCAAGATTGGCCGGCCCTCCCTCCCTCCCTCCCTTGGCCGGCCCTCCCTCCCTCCCTTGGCCGGCCCTCCCTCCCTCCCTTGGCCGGCCCTCCCTCC